GGAGGCCATTGCTATTGGGTTGGAGGCCATTGCTGTTGGGTTGGAGGTCATTTCTATTAGGTTGGAGGCCATGGCTAGTCGGTCGGAGGCCATCGCTAGTAGGTTGGAGGCCATCGCGAGTAGGTCGGAGGCCGTTGCTAGTAGGTGGTAGGCCACACGGAAAGGGATTTCTCAGAGTGATGAGTCTCATGCGATAGAGTCTCGTAGAGATACACCGCCGCTCGGGATCCAATTGATCTAAGACCTCAAGGAACATCGCAACCACAAAATACAACTAGGAGCAAGGACGCTGCTAGGGGTTCCTGGCCTTACTACTAGGAGCAAGAAGCTATTAGGGGCCAATTCTTTGTATACCAAAAGAAGGCAAATGTCCGTTCTTGACATGATGCTCTTTGCAATTAGGCTAGTAGTAACAAGTGCCACGCTAGTAGTAACAGGTGCCTTACTAGTAGTAACAAGAAGCTAGTAGAAACAAGTGCCACGCTAGTAGTAACAGGTGCCTTACTAGTAGTAACAACAAGCTAGTAGAAACAAGTGCCACGCTAGTAGTAACAGGTGCCTTACTAGTAGTAACAAGAAACTATTAATTTACTTTAAACTTAATTCTAATAGCTTCTTTGTTACTACTAGTAAGGCACCTGTTACTACTAGCGTGGCACTTGTTACTAGTGTTCGATTGTTGCACTCCTGAAGTCCTGAGTGCCTGTCCTGGTCAGCATAGCCCTGGGAGGAGGCTGTGAAGACAACGACCTGCACTCTCTGGTTCTTCAGCAAGTTTTGAAAGAGAGGTGTGCACAGAAGAAGGGTGGTTTCGTAGCAAAGACCAACTTAACTTGATTCCCGCACCCTTCCTCGGCAATCTCCTTTGTGCATCCTTCTTACACCTAACTTACCAACAAGCTCGGTCCTGAACAAAAATCGTGAATCAAGTGGCAGACCGGTTTGCCCTCAGACTTTGGAACCCGGTTGTTGCTAAAGCGGATAAAGCAACACCTTGCCGCTCCAACCAAGTTGGAACCCTGGTTTTTACATGGCCTCCAACCTACTAGCCATCGCCTCCAACTCCCTTTGATTCAAACCGTTGGTGTTTCCGGCCTCAAAGAGCCTCGCAGCCACTTGAAGGAAGAGCCTTGCAAAGGGCCGGACATAGACATAGCCGGTAGCCTCACAGCAGAACGTGGGAAAAAGTGAAACATTATCTTTAGCCTTCATTCCTTTCTACATGTCTCCTTGCCCTCTGCTCGTTCCTCTTGTGTTTTTCATACTTATTTGTTCCTTGGACCGTCTTTTATTTGTTTTCCAAGCTTCCATGTTCCCTTTCTTCTGTTCATTCCTTTTAAAATGAAACTAAAATAGAAATGCATGTCTTGCGTTTCGTGGTGCGTAGCTTCTGTATTCATGTGTTTTTTTGTTTGTTCAGGATTATTAAATTATATGGGTTTATCTTTTTCATATGTCTGAATTTCGTGCACTAGTTATTTTGTTGATACGTCTGCCCTCCACAAGAATGAAGAGAAGGACAAAAACAAGAAGCAATGTATTTGCAATCCTCTGTTGAAGCTTTGTGCATGCTCTGGGAAACACGATGTTCAAGTTCTGACTTTGAAGACCGCAAATGGCAAGAGCAAAAGTTACAAGACGACACACACGACTGAGCTGCATTTCGGATGAAAAGGAAGTTCTTCTGACGATGGGCCAAACGTGCAACCGAACCAGTTGTCCAAGGAACACAAAGTGGCCAGGAGCCCCGTTCGTAGCGTCTTTGCTCCTAGTAGGATGGCCAGGAGCCCCTAGTAGCTTCTTGTTACTACTAGTAAGGCACTTGTTACTAGAAGCGAGCGGTTTTTAATAGATTTCAACAAAAACCTGTTCGTCTCACTGCCTTGGACTCTTCAAATTGCACCGAGAAGTCAGGCCTGAGACGGTGAAAGGCTCACGTTTTCCCGGGTCCGGCGATTGGGGTTGCGACCCTCAGCTGTGCGCACCCACGGGCACGTTCGGTGCAGTGTGCAATGTGCGTTCGTAAGAATGCTCCGTTCGAGTCGCGATGCCCGTTCGTAGCGTCCGATCGCTCCTAGTAAGGCCAGGAGCCGTTGGTAGCTTCTTGTTCAAGGTCAGTGTAACAACGGTTCTCTGCAGATTTGCCTGACAGTTTTGTTCACCATGTGCAGCGTAGGAAACCTTCCGTGACGCGCGATTGAGCCGGTGTGTTGACGCTTGTGCTGCAAGTAATGCCCTTGTTGTTACTAGTAGTTTCTTGCTACTAGCAGTAAGGTGCCTTACTAGTAGTAACAAGCTGCTAGTAGAAAGGCACCTTGCTACTAGTAGCGTTCTTGCTACTAGTAGTAATATGCCTTTGTTACTAGTAGTGCTGCAAGTGGGCGACATAGGAATACCATGTGCAAATTTCGTCGCGCGGGGGTTGGGGGGGGTGACAGGGCAGCGCCTCCCACTAGCGAACACCAACTGCTGCAAACGAACAAAAGTAACACTGTCAGGGGTGTGATGTAGGGAAAGAAGGCTCAAAAAGCGAAGTCCTAGAAGTAATAAAAGCCTGTTCTGTTTCTAGAATTGTCCCTTTTGTCTTTTTTATGCTTTCTACACAATACCCTTTTCAATCCAGGTCAAAAGGTCTGCCTCCTTCCTTCTTCCCTTCCCCTCCCTCCCTTCCCTTCCCTTCCCTTTCCTTTCCTTTCCTTCCCTTTCCTTTCCGTTCCCTTCCCTTCCTTTCCTTTTCCTTTCCTTCCTTCCTTCATAAATTTCATAATGACATTATGACATTTGTTGATCCTGACGCTTGATAATGTTTTTGGATGACCATGCCGATTCTAGAGCTCAATGCAGGCTACAAGCGCTAGGTGCAAGCTGGTCACACAGGCCTAGCAGGCGGGGTTTCCAGTTTGGCAGCGAGCGCAGGCACATGTGGCGCGTGTGTGCTGTAACTTTCAGACTGGTGGGGATGAAGCTAAGAATGCGTTCAAGGCTATTAGGTTGGAGGCCATCGCTAGTAGTAACAAGAAGCTACTAGGGGCTCCTGGCATCGCTACTAGGAGCAAGGACGCTACTTGGGGCTCCTGGCCTTACTACTAGTAACAAGAAGCTATTAGGTTGGAGGCCATCGCTTTCAAGGCATGTTCCCAGATTTTGTCTATCCTTTTCCCAGCTGTCGGTCAAAAACCTTAAGCTATGTAAGTGGCAAGGGCAATGCAATTGCATGAAATGTGGCTTGCCAGTGGTACCTGGTGCGTTTTTCCATGGAATTAGGGTATGAATGGCTCCAGCCAAAAACTCATGTAAACTGAGGAGGGCGTTGAATCTTTGGAAGGTATGGATGGATTTTAAGATCTCATCAAGTCTTCACACCTGTTCGAGCTCACGTTTAAAGGTTCCACGCAGCTCTGCCAAAGGTTCCGTTGTAGATAGGGGTAGCTAAGTCCGCCCACAAAAACAATTCAAACTCCTTCCCAGCACACCCTGATTATCACCAAGCTCGGCTTGGTGCTTGGGACCATCAGGAAGCAGATCTAGGCGACAGTGTGAAAGTGTCTCATCAAGGTCCTAGCAGCACAAACCCAAGTGGTGAAAAGACCGATAGTAGGAGCAAGGACGCTACTAGGAGCGAAGGGCATCGCTACTAGGAGCAAGGACGACACTAGGGGCTCCTGGCATCGCTACTAGCAACAAGAAGCTACTAGGGGCTCCTGGCCATACTAGTAGGAACAAGAAGCTATTAGACAAACTCTTGCAGTCACTGCTTGAACACTCACAGTCCAGGACAACCGTCAAGCTGTGGCCCTCCTCACACCACAAAGCGTTCTTGCGCATCAAACGCCAACATTCTGTCCGTCGTTTCCATCAGTAAATCCAGTTCATGCTATTAGGTGGAGGCCATGGCTATTAGGGTGGAGGCCACTGCTAGTGGGTTGGAGGCCATCGCTATCAGGATGCCATCGCTATTAGGGTGGAGGTCATCGCTAGTAGGTTGGAGGCC